TGGATCGCTTTTACACAGAGGTCAGTTTGGGATTCCAGGGAGGAGTATGCGGGATGGACACGGGCGCATAAGGGATTTCTTAGAGGGCTGTGGAGGGGGGGGGGGGTTCTAGGGGTTGATTGGGAGAATGCGTATGATTGTGTGGACAGGGTGTTTTTGCGTGAGAGTTTGTGTGATCTGGGTTTTGGTGCCAGGGTGGTAGGGTGGGTGGATGCATTGTATGCGGGGGCGATCATGCGTGTGCAGGTGAATGGTAGGTTGAGTTCTGGGATTCGTATGGAGAGGGGTTTGCGGCAGGGTTGCCCACTTTCACAACTATTATTTGCTTGTGTTCAGAACCCATTTTATGACCTTGTAGACCGAGAGTTGTGTGGGGAGGGGGTTGAGGGGAATGACGGGGGGGTTGTGGGTTACGTTGATGATACGACGATCTTACTTAGTGGAAGGGAGGATTTTTCAAGGGTGGGTAGAGTCATCGAGAAGTTTGGGGCCATAACAGGAATGAGGGTAAACAAAAGCAAGTCGATGTTGTTAGAGGTGGGCACCTGGGTAGGCGGGAGATTGGGTCAGGGGTTTGGATGGAATATCGTAGAACGGATTAAGATTTGTGGGATTTGGTACACAGCGGACAGGCAGGACAGTAGAAAGATTAATTCAGAGGCAGTTAGGGACAGGGCAGTGGGTAGGCTACGTGGCCTTCGGGCCAGAGATATTACGTTGCACCAAAGGGCTGTGATTGTGAATTCGTTGGTATACAGTAAGGTTTGGGGAGCGGCGGCAGTATATCCCTTGAGAAATTGTGATGTAACAGACATACAGAGGAGGGCATTAAGGTATATATGGGGTTATGGGAGGGCGTGGTTGGGACGTGATGTAGGAATGACTGGGGTGCGTCTGGGGGGATTGGGTTTGTTGGCACTGAGGCCCAGGGTGAGGGCAATATACGTCAAGGTGAGATACCTCAGTGAGGGGGGGGTCTGGGGGGCGGCGTGTGGGGGAGGTGATGCGGGACTTACGTTGTTGGTGGAGTGGGAGGGACCTGGAGGTGTGTGAGGATATGTTGAGGTATATGTTAAGAGTGCGAGATGTGCGTCATTTGCGAATAGGGAGGCTGGTGGGAGTAGAGTATCATCGGGAGACGCTGCAAGGGGTGGCTGTCTTTCCCACATATAATTGGAGGGTAATATGGGAGGAATTTCGAAAGCTAAGAATGCCTGCAAGGGTGAGAGAAGTGGTCTACAGATTCCTCATGGGGACATTGGTGTCAAAACAGGTGTTGAGGCAGATGGGATATGTGAGTGATGCTTCATGTGTGCATTGTGGCGATGTGGAAAATGCTTTCCATGTGGTGTACTTTTGTCCTTTTTTGGAAAATGTAAGGGTGTGGTTGAGGGGTGTTTTTGGATTATTGGAAGGGGAAAGGGTGGGGGTCCTTAGGGCTTTACTTTTAGACGTGGGAGGAGTGTCTAAGGAGGTAGCGAGGGCGTTAAGGTATATAATGGTTGATTTTTTGTATGTTTCTTGGGGAATGAGGGAGGTGGGGAGTAATGTCAGGATCAAGGCCTTAGCGGCGAGTTTTTATAGGTCAGTGGGTAGGAATAGGAGTTTATATGGGGGTCAGTGGGTTGCTCTTTTTCCGGAGAGTTATCGGGGACTGACTGTGGTACGACTGCTACAGTTGGTGCCGGGGAAAGGCAGCAAGGGGTTGGTTTCCGGAGGTGAGTGATGAGTACTTGGAGATGATTGTAGTTAGGAAGAGAAGAGATGGTGGATGCTCCAGTGGTGTATGTGAGATAACATGATGTAAGGCCTATCTGTGTGAAGGCCTTTGTGTGTGTGTGTGTGTGTGTGTATGTGTGTGTGTTGAGTGTGTGTCTTGAGTGTGTGTGTTGTGGCGTGTGTGTGGTGTGTCTGTGTGCGTGTCTGTGTGAGTGTGTGTGTGTGTGGGTGGGGTGTTCTGTTATTGAAATGGGGCTTCTGTGAGAGAGGTGGAGGTTTTTGGTAAGATTTTCTTGCTTCTGTGGGTTCGCCAAGGCGTCCTTTCGATACTTTTCAAAGACGGGCCAAACTAAAATTTTTTAGGAAATAATGAGCGAGGAATTATTTGTGTTGTAAAAGATGCGGGGTTTGTTTTTGTTGCCCCAGAGACTATTGTTAGGATTCCTATCCTCTTTAACAACTGTAGTACGGGCGAGGTGCCTGCGTGCACAAGGCTCATGTATTTCCTGTATATTTAACTTTGTCAATGTTAGATGTTCTGTGTACGAGAGTGGGCATTGTACATTGCCCTATTCAGTATTCCTTCCTGTTGGGAAGTTAATGTGGTAGGAACGTATATACACACGGATTAAGGGTATATTTCACCTGTTCATACTGTGTACCTGGTGGGTGATGGGAGGTGGCACACATCTTAAAAAAATTTTTCTTATTTATCTTTTATTCTAGAGTATGCAAAGTTCAATATGATGTGTATTTGGCTTATATGGGGTGTGGGGAGTACGATTTAGTATCCTCGAAAACACTGTCAGGAGGTTTTAGTTTTCGAGAATCTATGTAAAGGGGGGAATGTATGAGGCAAAGAGGGGAATGTATGAGAGTATAGTTTTACCAACGCTCTTATATGGGTGTGAAGCGTGGGTGATGAATGTTGCAGCGAGGAGAAGGCTGGAGGCAGTGGAGATGTCATGTCTGAGGGCAATGTGTGGTGTGAATATAATGCAGAGAATTCGTAGTTTGGAAGTTAGGAGGAGGTGCGGGACTACCAAAACTGTTGTCCAGAGGGCTGAGGAAGGGTTGTTGAGGTGGTTCGGACATGTAGAGAGAATGGAGCGAAACAGAATGACTTCAAGAGTGTATCAGTCTGTAGTGGAAGGAAGGCGGGGTAGGGGTCGGCCTAGGAAGGGTTGGAGGGAGGGGGTAAAGGAGGTTTTGTGTGCGAGGGGCTTGGACTTCCAGCAGGCATGCGTGAGCGTGTTTGATAGGAGTGAATGGAGACAAATGGTTTTTAATACTTGACGTGCTGTTGGAGTGTGAGCAAAGTAACATTTATGAAGGGATTCAGGGAAACCGGCAGGCCGGACTTGAGTCCTGGAGATGGGAAGTACAGTGCCTGCACTCTGAAGGAGGGGTGTTAATGTTGCAGTTTAAAAACTGTAGTGTAAAGCACCCTTCTGGCAAGACAGTGATGGAGTGAATGATGGTGAAAGTTTTTCTTTTTCGGGCCACCCTGCCTTGGTGGGAATCGGCCGGTGTGATAATAAAAAAAAAAACAAAATAATTGTATGAGAAATGTTTTGGTGTATACTTAATGTTTTGTATATAAAGTTTTGTACAAAATATGCATAAGTGTAACAGGTTTTGTTATGTAGCTTTTTTTGTTAAGGAATGCTCAGGTGTAGGTTCTTCTGTTTCATTCCTAGTTAGGCTTGTTTTTTCTCAGTGTTGAGCTTTTTTGTTAAGTTTTATGTATAACAACATGTAGATTGTATACTGTGTCCTTAAATAAAAATATAAAAAAAAAAAATTCCCTACCTAAACATATACAAAAATAATATATACATAAATAATACCCTGGTATATAATCCTTAGTTATATAGCTTAGAGTCATAATATTATAAACTAGAGGAATGTTTAATTTAGCTATTATTAAAGAGACCCTGAGTATAATATTAAGTGAAAAAATTCCGTATTAATAAATAATTATGACTAAGGGGCATAACATTAGCCAAGGTCATCACTGGAGCTTACACTTAGGTGTCTCCAGCCACTACCCACAAGAATGAACCTCAGGTGCTCTCCAAAGAAGGAAGAGAAAAGCCAGCCGCTGACTGCATATGCATCAAGACCACAGTCCAGGAGAGGAACTCGCATCCAAACACCGGAGACAAAGGAAACCTTGCACGATGAGCAAAGAGCTCATCCCTTCCCTCTTTTTTCCTGCGAAGACTGCAGCATTTGCTGGGGTGGTGGAAGAATACTAAAGATATCTAGTGCCCACAAAGCATCCTTTGAGCTCATTTACACGAGACCTACTCAGACAATGATCAAGATCAGTCCCAGATACGACAGCTGATGCTCATAGAGAAGGGACTGCACATGGAGAGAAAGCTGTCGAACTTGGGACCAGGTAAAATGAACAACCACCGTCTTTCGAAGGGAAAAACCTATAGCTGTTAGATATAGCTCACTCTGCCCACTCCAGGATGAGGGCGCAATAATTACTACTGTGGAAGTTAAAAAAACTGACCATCTGAAGTCCAAATACATAGAAATGGAACAGAGAGAGAGCTATGTCTAAGAAGGTATCATGAAACGCCTGCTACACTGCACCCCATATCTCATATTGGGTACTGAACTCTGAATCTATTAAATGTTCTTAAATATGTAGCTCCTCTAGCCAAATTAATTTTTAATTAAATTTTTGATATTTCACCTTCCTGAACATAATTGTTTTATTAACGTAAGGATTCAGATTCACATGCGTCGTGGCTACACTTTACAGCTGATGTATTGATAATCAGATTACGACCTTTGTTTATGAATTTGATTGTGGTATACCATGTAATGACAGTTATAAATTCGTATTGTTATTATAACCAGGGGGAGCGCTAAACAAGTAGGATTATACAGCGCACGTGGGGGGTGGGGGTGTTAGGTATTCAGGCTCAATTCAGGGAACCGGAGCACAGATCTAATTCCCTAAATCAAGAGCCCCTCACCAGGGTCAAGGAACCTCCCTTGGGGGGTATAAATTCGTAATATGAAATCTAGCTGAAGGAGGAAATATCTTAATCATTTATGCCGAAAGAGTTGTTTAGTTCTTAATTAGGCAGCAACCTATGGAATAATGAAACCTCTCCTGGGGAAGTAATCCCTAGTCCCTACCTCTAGATACAAATCAAACTCCACCACTCAGCCTCGGGTGATCTTGACTAAGCTACGATCTTGACTAAGCTACGATCTTGACTAGGCTACGTTCCCCTGGTGGTGCTGGGACCTACTGGTAAGTGGTCTCCTGCTGGGGATGTGCCAGATGACGAGGTAGCCGTCTAGGATGCCTCCGAGGCTCACCACGTACTCCTCCCCTGCCGTGACGCCCACTGCTGCCACTTCCTCCCGATGGACGGTGTAGCTGCCGTACTCCTGACGATTGTCGTATGTCCACACTACCACTCTCGCCTGCAGGATAGAGTTACACTTAAAATACACATTATATTCATGGGGAAGGACTAAACCTGTAAGGGTCACACAGTGCCAAGAATATGGATGGCAGTCAGGATCAGCCCAGTGAAGGGTATAGTTCCAGTTCCCTGCATTAACAAATCCTTCACCCTGAAGAGAAATACACAAAAAATGCTATTCTGACCTGTGTTCACGGTAGCCAAGCTACTTTACATCTCTTAAGATCTGCCTCATATGAGTCTGTCATACTATTGGAGTAATGTCTCCCAGAGCTCATTTACATATGAACTCTAGAGGAGTAAGCCTCAAATACTTAAGTAGGTGTAAGAGTAGTATAGATATCTGGTGACTAGATGTCGTTGATTCTTGCTTTTTTTTTACAACATAGACAACCCTGGAGATACAATGCATAAAATACCAACACAATGGAAAAATAAACACAAATGAAGTGTAATGAGATTCATTTCTGACTACGTTTCGCCCATACGTCACAAGCAGAGCTACCTGGGTAAAGAGTAAACGAGTATATATACTGCAATGGTGGGCAAACTGCGGCTCCCTAGACACTATTGAGTTTCATTGTCATATTTCCTAAAATTTTAAATTAATAATCTGTCAGTATCAATATCAGAATATTTTATAATATAATATATATATATATATATATATATATATAATATATATATATATATATATATATATATATATATATATATAATATATATATATATATATATATATTATATATATATATATATAGGGAAGTATCACCTCTAGAACTGTTATAGGGACCCTCATCCTCAGAGAAAAGAATAAACTTGCTTCAGGGAAAACTCAATATTCTCCCTGAAGCTGTTTGAGAATTTTCTCTTACCACCCCCTATATATATATATATATATATATAAATATATAATATATATATATATATATATATATATATATATATATATATATATATATATTATATATATAATACATCTAGGTTTTTCTCCTTTTTCTAAATAGCTCTTGTTCTTTTTTATTTCTTCTATTGTCCATGGGGAAGTGGAAAAGAATCTTTCCTCCGTAAGCCATGCGTGTCGTATGAGGCGACTAAAATGCCGGGAGCAATGGGCTAGTAACCCCTTCTCCTGTATACAATTACTAAAAAAGAGAAGAAGAAAAACTTTATAAAACTGGGTTGCTTAAATGTGCGTGGATGTAGTGCGGATGACAAGAAACAGATGATTGCTGATGTTATGAATGAAAAGAAGTTGGATGTCCTGGCCCTAAGCGAAACAAAGCTGAAGGGGGTAGGAGAGTTTCAGTGGGGGAAATAAATGGGATTAAATCTGGAGTATCTGAGAGAGTTAGAGCAAAGGAAGGGGTAGCAGTAATGTTAAATGATCAGTTATGGAAGGAGAAAAGAGAATATGAATGTGTAAATTCAAGAATTATGTGGATTAAAGTCAAGGTTGGATGCGAGAAGTGGGTCATAATAAGCGTGTATGCACCTGGAGAAGAGAGGAATGCAGAGGAGAGAGAGAGAGATTTTGGAGATGTTAAGTGAATGTATAGGAGCCTTTGAACCAAGTGAGAGAGTAATTGTGGTAGGGGACTTGAATGCTAAAGTAGGAGAAACTTTTAGAGAGGGTGTGGTAGGTAAGTTTGGGGTGCCAGGTGTAAATGATAATGGGAGCCCTTTGATTGAACTTTGTATAGAAAGGGGTTTAGTTATAGGTAATACATATTTTAAGAAAAAGAGGATAAATAAGTATACACGATATGATGTAGGGCGAAATGACAGTAGTTTGTTGGATTATGTATTGGTAGATAAAAGACTGTTGAGTAGACTTCAGGATGTACATGTTTATAGAGGGGCCACAGATATATCAGATCACTTTCTAGTTGTAGCTACACTGAGAGTAAAAGGTAGATGGGATACAAGGAGAATAGAAGCATCAGGGAAGAGAGAGGTGAAGGTTTATAAACTAAAAGAGGAGGCAGTTAGGGTAAGATATAAACAGCTATTGGAGGATAGATGGGCTAATGAGAGCATAGGCAATGGGGTCGAAGAGGTATGGGTAGGTTTAAAAATGTAGTGTTAGAGTGTTCAGCAGAAGTTTGTGGTTACAGGAAAGTGGGTGCAGGAGGGAAGAGGAGCGATTGGTGGAATGATGATGTAAAGAGAGTAGTAAGGGAGAAAAAGTTAGCATATGAGAAGTTTTTACAAAGTAGAAGTGATGCAAGGAGGGAAGAGTATATGGAGAAAAAGAGAGAAGTTAAGAGAGTGGTGAAGCAATGTAAAAAGAGAGCAAATGAGAGAGTGGGTGAGATGTTATCAACAAATTTTGTGAAAATAAGAAAAAGTTTGGAGTGAGATTAACAAGTTAAGAAAGCCTAGAGAACAAATGGATTTGTCAGTTAAAAATAGGAGAGGAGAGTTATTAAATGGAGAGTTAGAGGTATGGGAAGATGGAAGGAATATTTTGAGGAATTGTTAAATGTTGATGAAGATAGGGAAGCTGTGATTTCGTGTATAGGGCAAGGAGGAATAACATCTTGTAGGAGTGAGGAAGAGCAGTTGTGAGTGTGGGGGAAGTTCGTGAGGCAGTAGGCAAAATGAAAGGGGGTAAGGCAGCCGGGATTGATGGGATAAAGATAGAAATGTTAAAAGCAGGTGGGGATATAGTTTTGGAGTGGTTGGTGCAATTATTTAATAAATGTATGGAAGAGGGTAAGGTACCTAGGGATTGGCAGAGAGCATGCATAGTTCCTTTGTATAAAGGCAAAGGGGATAAAAGAGAGTGCAAAAATTATAGGGGGATAAGTCTGTTGAGTGTACCTGGTAAAGTGTATGGTAGAGTTATAATTGAAAGAATTAAGAGTAAGACGGAGAATAGGATAGCAGATGAACAAGGAGGCTTTAGGAAAGGTAGGGGGTGTGTGGACCAGGTGTTTACAGTGAAACATATAAGTGAACAGTATTTAGATAAGGCTAAAGAGGTCTTTGTGGCATTTATGGATTTGGAAAAGGCATATGACAGGGTGGATAGGGGGGCAATGTGGCAGATGTTGCAAGTGTATGGTGTAGGAGGTAGGTTACTGAAAGCAGTGAAGAGTTTTTACGAGGATAGTGAGGCTCAAGTTAGAGTATGTAGGAAAGAAGGAAATTTTTTCCCAGTAAAAGTAGGCCTTAGACAAGGATGTGTGATGTCACCGTGGTTGTTTAATATATTTATAGATGGGGTTGTAAGAGAAGTAAATGCGAGGGTCTTGGCAAGAGGCGTGGAGTTAAAAGATAAAGAATCACACACAAAGTGGGAGTTGTCACAGCTGCTCTTTGCTGATGACACTGTGCTCTTGGGAGATTCTGAAGAGAAGTTGCAGAGATTGGTGGATGAATTTGGTAGGGTGTGCAAAAGAAGAAAATTAAAGGTGAATACAGGAAAGAGTAAGGTTATGAGGATAACAAAAAGATTAGGTGATGAAAGATTGAATATCAGATTGGAGGGAGAGAGTATGGAGGAGGTGAATGTATTCAGATATTTGGGAGTGGACGTGTCAGCGGATGGGTCTATGAAAGATGAGGTGAATCATAGAATTGATGAGGGAAAAAGAGTGAGTGGTGCACTTAGGAGTCTGTGGAGACAAAGAACTTTGTCCTTGGAGGCAAAGAGGGGAATGTATGAGAGTATAGTTTTTACCAACGCTCTTATATGGGTGTGAAGCGTGGGTGATGAATGTTGCAGCGAGGAGAAGGCTGGAGGCAGTGGAGATGTCATGTCTGAGGGCAATGTGTGGTGTGAATATAATGCAGAGAATTCGTAGTTTGGAAGTTAGGAGGAGGTGCGGGATTACCAAAACTGTTGTCCAGAGGGCTGAGGAAGGGTTGTTGAGGTGGTTCGGACATGTAGAGAGAATGGAGCGAAACAGAATGACTTCAAGAGTGTATCAGTCTGTAGTGGAAGGAAGGCGGGGTAGGGGTCGGCCTAGGAAGGGTTGGAGGGAGGGGGTAAAGGAGGTTTTGTGTGCGAGGGCTTGGACTTCCAGCAGGCATGCGTGAGCGTGTTTGATAGGAGTGAATGGAGACAAATGGTTTTTAATACTTGACGTGCTGTTGGAGTGTGAGCAAAGTAACATTTATGAAGGGATTCAGGGAAACCGGCAGGCCGGACTTGAGTCCTGGAGATGGGAAGTACAGTGCCTGCACTCTGAAGGAGGGGTGTTAATGTTGCAGTTTAAAAACTGTAGTGTAAAGCACCCTTCTGGCAAGACAGTGATGGAGTGAATGATGGTGAAAGTTTTTCTTTTTTCGGGCCACCCTGCCTTGGTGGGAATCGGCCGGTGTGATAATAAAAAAATAATATATATATATATATATATATATATATATATATATATATATATATATATATATATATATTTATATATATACTGGGAGAGGCTAGTGTCGGTCATGCTTATAGCTTCGTTGACTCAACTCTAATGGTTTCCTCCGCAAACACGGTAGTTGCCCTGGTTCAGGATGTCCTCCTGTGGAAAGTGATGATCCAGAGCCACCTCAGGCACCTGAACCCACTCCAACAGATCTCATCTCATCAGACAATATCTCGGAAGCAATTAAAGCAACAAGTACCAGGACACACACACATATTCCCAAAGCAGCCCGTCCACACGCAGCTGGGAAACTTACAGACCTTCTGAAAAAAGTAAACGATGGTTCCACTATCTTAAATGCTCCACCAACCATCAAGGCATGGCACAACTTGCTACTTCTTAGCAATGTCTGCTTAGCTGTGCCGGAAAGAAGGGGAAAGAGGCTAACCTCAATGATAATTAAATCCTTAAGAAATTTTCCTAGAGCTGATAACCTCATTCACCTTCCCCGTCAACACAAGAAAGGGAGAGGCAGAACCCCCACTCACTCCACTAACAGTGAAAAAGTCAGAGTCCAGGTGAGCAAGAAAATTGAAGAGGGCAACACAGTGGGGGCACAATCAGAATTACCAGTGAAGATACAGTTGCTCCCAGGGATGCTGACACGGCTGAAGCACTTAGAGGAAAGCACCCTGCCAGGGAAACCAGTGGCACCAACAGTTCCAACACCTCTGTCCCCACTGTGGAACCATTGATTGTGGAAGACTCTGGCATTTACAAAGCAATAATGTCGTTCCCATCTGGCTCTGCTGGGGGTTACACTGGAATAAGGCCACAGCATTTAAGGGAAATGGTTAATCCAGTTATTGGGGAAATTGCAGAGACACTGCTTTCAGAGATCACAAAGCTCGTCAACAATTCCTTGGCTGGTCTGATTCCTGATGAAATTAGACCTTTCTTTTTTGGTGCAACACTTTGTGCACTTAAAAAGAAGGATGGAGGAATTCGGCCAATTGCAGTAGGCAACACGTTACGCTGCCTCGTATCCAAAGCTGCTGTCCGAAGTATTCGTGCACAGGCAGCCATGATGCTTCAACCAAACCAGATTGGCTTTGGGGTCTCTCAAGGAAGTGAAGCAGCGGTTCATGCAACAAGGGCGTATATCAACAACCTGCCTGAGGACAATGCAGTGGTAAAATTAGATTTCAAGAATGCATTCAATCTCCTGAAAAGAGACGTGGTATTAGCAGCAGTACAAGAACATTTCCCTGGTCTCTTCCCTTTTGTTGCAGCTGTGTATAGCAAGGAATCAATGCTTCTCTTTGGAGAGCATGAAATCACATCGAAGGGTGTCCAACAAGGAGATCCTTTTGCATCATTTCTCTTCTGTATAGCAGTTAGGGAAATCACAGTCAGACTGACCAGCGAGCTAAACATCTGGTTCCTAGATGATGGCACACTAACAGTTACAAAGGAGTCCCTCCTACACGATCTTACACAGGTAATGACACGGGGATAGGAAATGGGTCTCATCCTGAATCCATCCAAATGTGAAATCATCTCAGTCAGTCAACAAGTGATAAATGCAGTGAGATCAAAACTACCAGGAGCAGCAGTCATTGCCCCCACAAACAGTGTCTTGCTAGGAGCACCTCTGGGAAGCAATGCCATTGACACACTTCTCAGGAAGAAATTGGAAGAGTTAAGGAGAATGGAACAACGAACAAGCAATCTGGACACCCACGATGCCTTGTACCTTTTCACAAAGTGCTTGAGTTTGCCCAGGTTGACATATTTCTTAAGATGTGCACCTGCATATGATAACCCTATACTGCACGAATATGACAGTATCCTGAGGCAGATTTTTACGAATGTACTTAACCTTACTCTAGAAGACGGGCAGTGGAACCAAGCTACACTTCCAGTCAGACTAGGAGGCATTGGTGTCCGCAAGTCATCACAGATTGCGCTACTTGCTTTTCTGTCCTCATGTATTGCATCCAGAGGGCTTGTAGCAGCGATTCTCCCTGAACATCTTAGGGACAAGATTGGAGTCCAGGGCCAAAAGTTCATTGACGGAGTCATGATCTGGGATAATCTAACGGGCTCTGAAACCAGACCTGCTCCCCCCAACAACTACTGGGATGGTCCAGTAGTGGAAAATATAGCCTCAACAGTGCTTCAGAGTGTGTCAGGGAAGGATAGAGCCCGCCTCCTGGCAGTGAGAGTTCCTCATGCAGGGGACTTTCTGTTGGCTGTTCCCAACTCCAGCCTTGGTACACGCCTCGACCCACAGACCATCAGCATCGGTGTTGCCCTTCGACTTGCAGCCCCTATTCTCGCCGAACACAGGTGTATTTGTGGCAGTGAAGCAGCAGACCGATTCGGGTACCATGGTCTTGTGTGCCGTAAATCCGAGGGAAAGATTGCAAGACATGAGGAGGTTAATATTATCAAAAGGAGCCTCACAACAGCTGGATGCCCAGCAGTAAGTGAGCCACCCCAGCTATGCAGATCTGATGGCAGCCAGAAGCGTCCAGATGGTATCACCCTTCAAGCCTGGACAGACGGGAAGCAGGTGGTGTGGGACTATACATGTGCATCTACCTTGGCTGATACCTATCTCCAATACACCAGGGAGGAAGGAGGGGCAGCTGCCAGCTTCAGGGAGTCCCAAAAGTCTAAAAAATATGGAGAACTTGCCCATCATTATATGTTTGTTCCCATAGGCTCAGAGACCCTTGGCTCATGGGGAAAGAGTGCATCTAAATTCCTTAAGGAGCTGGGAAAAAGACTCATCAGGGTAACTAGGATCCCAGGGCAGCTAGTTTTCTGTTCCAGCGGCTCAGTGCGGCTGTTCAAAAGGGTAATGTCTGCTGTATTTTGGGCACACGCCCCAGCTCTGAGGAGCTGGATGAGATTTTCGCCTTATAATCGGTGATACACACGCAACAACATGTACCGTATATGCCACCTTTATATCAACAATGTATCTCTTAAATCTACTGTACCATATTATGTAATAAAATATTCCTAATATATATATATATATATATATATATATATATATATATATATATATATATATATAATATATATATATATATATATATATATGTGTGTGTGTGTGTGTATGGGTGATTCACATTACCTTTACAAACATCCATATGCATTATGTATCCAAACCGCTGTTTAAACTCGCTGAACATTTTCAAAGCACGTTTTAAACAAGTACGGATGATGTAGCTGGACTCTGTGTCATCACTCTTCATGCAGTACACACAAGTTACGTACTTGTTGCGGTAGTGAAACATAACTAGTGTAGTGTAGTGCAGTGTAGGTAAGTACTTTTCTGATTAATAAATACTTAAGACTGATTTTAGTTAAAGTTATAAAACCCTTGTTTAAAATGACAGAGCAACATAAGAGTATAAAACGGATGTGATTGCAATTCTTGCTCCAGAAATCTCAAAACTTAAACAGGCAATAAAACAAATTCCTATCTCCCGCTGCACCACTGAGAGACGCATTTGCACCACTGAGAGACGCATTTCTGAAATTAGTTCTACAATCGAATGCTCACTGAAAAGTGATCCGAAAAGCTGCGTTGCTTTCAGCTTAGCAGTGGATGAATCTACAGACACTGAAGATATCTCTCAACTAGCTATATTTGTTCTCTATGTTACAAACGATGAAAATGTAAAAGGAGTCTTAGACCTGATAAGCTTAAAGAAAACCACGAAAGGTACCGACCTCAAAAATACACTTGTTAGCATCGCAACAGACGGAGCACCGGCTATGGTAGGTCAAAATACTGGCCTAGTTGGGCAACTGACACATGATCTCAACTATCGTGAATGTATCTTTATCCACTGTATCATCCACCCTGAACATTTAGTAAGTAAAAACTTCAACAGTGTCATAAATTACGTTTTAGAAATTATGAATTTCTTTCGGACAATTGCAAAAACACCGTGAATTTAGAAATTTTATGGAGGAGCTGGAACTTGAAGAAAAGCCAAGTGATCTTTCATTCTACTGTATTATAAGATGGCTATCAAGTAAAAATCTTAAGAATAAATTTGTTACTCTTTTTGAACCAGTCATTGGTTTCATGAAAAATAAGAAAAAAAAAAAGAAATTCCCACAACTAGAAGATCGTGGATGTGTACAGGATCAGATGCTCTTTACAGATGTAATGCATCACCTCCAGTATTTAAATCTGGTACTTCAAGGATCGAAGTTATTACAGAACTTGGACAATCAGTTTTCAGTTTTCGGAATAAAATGAAGCTTTTTTTTCAGAGATATCTGACAACAAAGGAATTTGACCACTTTCCCAACCTTAAATTAAGAATAACTACTTTTCCTGGTATTGAAATTAAATTAAGTAAATTGAAACAATGCGAACGAAACTCAGATATACCTTATAATGATTTTGAGAACAGGTCTGAGAAACTAAAAACGTTGAAGCCATGTTTTGAATTTCTTGTGAATTCTTTAGTGATTGATGTCATCAACGATGGATGTCCTGTTGTTGCATCTTTAGTGATTGATGTAATCAACGATGGAGATCCTGTGTTGTTGCAGCTTTTGCCTCTGATGTTGCTTCAATAGAAACAGCTTATTGAGCTCCAGGAATATGTGGGCTTGAAGCTAGCACATAAAAGGTCATCACTAACTTTTAGAAACAAATTCCAGAAGCCAAGTATCCCAATCTTCAGAAAACTGTCTTCTGACTACTCTTTGTTTCTGGAACAACTTACCGCTGTGATCTCTCTTCTCTGTAATGATATTTATCAAAACATCGTGTTATCCTCACTAACATCCACCTCACTGAACTTATTACAGCTTTAACATCCTACCAGCCAGATTTTAAACTATTAACTGCAAAAATGAAGACCCAAACAGTCTTTAACGAGAAGAGTAGACATACTCTGCTTTGGTGAGTACGACCGCTATATAGATGTATTTTTTATTAATTATAAATACAATTATAAAATAACATTTTCATACATTTAAAAATGTTTGAAAAGTATTTTATGTGGCTCTTCTTATAGAAGAACTTCCCCACCCGTAAATTTTATATAGGGTGGAGAGTCATGTGGAGAATGTTCGGTAGTTTGGTTTTGAGACGGACCTTCTAGCTTACTTGTGCTGCTCCGAGACGACACACGACCCTACCTGACATCCTGGGTCGCTGTTCTGGGCGGACACGATGAGACGACCAGACCTGGAGATGCTGAGGGCGGTAACTGGGCGGTTGTGGGCGTGGAGGAGAGCATGGCGCCCGCCCACACGGTCCCACACGCCCACACCCACGCCCACAGGGTACACTAAACCACGGTCCTTTTGAAGGTGTAATCCACCCACGACTTTTCCTGAGACAATTTTATATATGATTATTTATATTTGATAATTATATAATTATTTAGGATAATTATTTATATACAATGATTACTAATTATGTAAGATGGATTTTTGATGTTTCTTTCCCAGTGAAAATTAAAATGTACTGACCCACAGTGAAAATTATAATGTACTGACCAACAGTGAAAATTATAATGTACTGACCCACAGTGAAAATTATGTAAAATAGCTAAAAGACAGACAGAATATATATAATAGAATATTGAAAGAACATGTTGAATAGATTGATGTAATAGTGTAACAATGATAAAATATAGGAAGAACAGTTAACTAGAACGGACAGGAAGAACACAAAACAGAAAAAAAAACGAAAAATTAGGTAAGAGAAGTGGAAATATAAACACAAATGCAGTATAATGTGATCCTTTATTGACTACGTTTCGCCCACACAGTGGGCTTTTTCAAGTCACAAACAGAACTACCTGGGGTGGAAGGAACGCGAGTATTTATAGTCCGGTTCAGAATGCTGAGGTCAGGTGAAGAATGCTGCATCTGATGATGTACCGAGTGGGGTTATAGAGTCTAAAAACTTGGGTAGCTTGGAAAGGAGATTGGATAAGTTTGTGAGCAGACCTTCTACAGTGTTCTTATGTGGGATAGCGATGAAGAAGTTTCTTGGCAAGTGGTTCAGCTATGTTATAGAAGCCACTATTCTGGTTGAAGTTGTCGGATATAGAAATAAGTGATGATTCCAGGATTCTTCGGTATTGAGTGTTGTCTTCTGTGGCGATAAGTCTTGAGTTTCTGTAGTTTATCAAGTGGTTGTGTGAATTACGGTGTTGTACGCAGGCATTCCTTGTGTCGTCAGACCTGCTTGCGTATTGGTGTTCTGAAACACGTGTTTGGAGGTCCCTTGATGTTTCACCCACGTATAACTTGTTGCAGTCATTACAAGGGATTATGTATACCCCTGCAGAGGATGGAGGCTTGTCCTGTCTACTACTGGTGATGTCCTTGATGGTCGTGGTTGTGGAGGTAGATACTTGGAATGATGTTTTGGCAAAGATGTTGGAAACATGTTTGGCAATGGAGTTGGTGGGAAGGACTATGTATCTCTTCTCGGCAGTGTCTTCTCTGGGTGTGTTGAAGATGTTTAATGCCCGCCGTCTGCAGTCTCTGATGAAGTGACGAGGATAGTGGAGTTTAGAAAATATTTGTTCAATTATAGTGCATTCTTCCTCAAGGAACTCGTTGCTGCAGATTCTGAGTGCACGCAGGAAGAAGCCTATAATTACACCACGTTTGGTTTTGGTGTCGTGGTGAGAGTAGAAGTGGAGAAGATCGTTTTGGTTGGTGGGTTTTCGATAGACTTTAAAACGAAGTTCGTGGTCAGCTTTGCAGAGCAGGACATCAAGGAAAGGAAGAGTGTTGTCGACTTCTTCAAGTGTGAACTGGATTGAAGGCTCGACCTGGTTGAGCTTGTCTTGGAGAGCTTGAACGTTGAAGCGTTTAGGAGTTATGAGGAGAATGTCGTCAACATAACGGAGCCAGGTGACAGACGAAGGAATAATGGTGGAGAAACGTTCGGCTTCTAGATAAGATAAGATAAGATAAGATTTTGTTCGGATTTTTAACCCCGGAGGGTTAGCCACCCAGGATAACCCAAGAAAGTCAGTGCGTCATCGAGGACTGTCTAACTTATTTCCATTGGGGTCCTTAATCTTGTCCCCCAGGATGCGACCCACACCAGTCGACTAACACCCAGGTACCTATTTGCTGCTAGGTGAACAGGACAATAGGTGTAAGGAAACGTGTCGGAATTTCCACCCGCCGGTGG